AGCATCGATTTCTGTGGAACCCAGTAGCTGTCAAAACTTTCACATTTTTACGAATAACTCGGAAATCGTAAATTTTTCAGGTAAAACGGTTGAAAGAAACATAAATTAATATTGAACGGCCAATCTGAAAATAACAAAAAAAAGGGGGGGTTTCATTTAAAAAACCAGAGTTGGTAACTACCGCACGTTTATGATGCACCCTGTATATTGGAAAGTAATTTTAGAATGTGGACCTTTTAAACGTGAAAAACTTTCGTTGGACGAATTTTCTTGTAAACTTCATATTTACTGAGATATCGCACTTTGACGCACTAATGAGCAACCCTGTATATGCAATGTCTGAGAAGCATTCATTAAGGATTAATCCAGATAAGACTGTGGCTCTTCTTTTCTCCAGTGCTCGCCATAGGGACTTTATATTATCTAAAATGAGATTGATTCTGAATGAGGTTGATATTCCTTTTAAGGAATCCACCAGAAATCTGAGCCTACTCATGGATTCACAACTTAAATTTGATGAACATGTGCTGCTTCTCCTTGAGGAAGGGGTTCTCAGTGCTAAATCTTGGTTCGCCCATAGACACATTATTTCCAGGGAGGTAAAGAGGCTGCTTTGTGATAGTATGGTCTTATCACATTTCAGCTTCGCCGACTAGGTCTATGGTTCTTTTTTGGACCATTACAACCGAGGATGGATACAAAATTTTTGTTTGCGATTTATTTTTGGAATTAGACGTGGGCATGGCGTGGCTCATAAACTGCGGGAGCTGGGATGGTTGAATATGTCTAATCGACGGACAACTCGCACGATCTGCTTCTTTTATAGGATCATAAAATTCAAATCTCCTCCTTACCTGTATGACAGACTGACCTTCCGAACGGATGAGCATAATTTGAACATTAGAAGACTACATTTACTCACCATACCGTTACATAGAAAACAGCTGTTTAAAAAAAGGTTCTCATACAATATAGCACCAACTATCAATAAGTTCCGCATTACCGATTTCTTCAGTGTCAGAAGTGCTTTCATTCAAGAAGTATGCAACGGCTTTGTTGCTCGCCCGGCAGAGTGGCATTTAGATTGGGATCTATTCGGCCGTGAGCGTTTGCATGTGAACGTTCCATTTTCTGTCTAGTTTTTAAGGTTCCATTTTTTTTTCCTCTGATATTGAATTTTTTATGTCATGTTGGCCTTAGCAGCTCCATGTTTAAGGTGGAATCTGATTGGCCCTTATTTTTGGCGCCAGCTTATTGTTTTAGGTATGTTAAAGTGGAACATTTTTTTTTATAGATATACAGGGTGATTTAAAATTGGCGTCATTCTGTTTAAAGGGTGATAGAGGCTTTCTTGGGGAGTACGAGAAAAATATTGACATTTTTTTTCCGCAATATTCTGGAAGATATTAGCAGATGAAGATCGAATTTCAACTTAGTTATTAAGCATTATTTTGAAATGGTTCCATGTTTAATTGGTAGCATATTGAAATACTTAAGCATTCAAAAATAAAAATTACGATCTTTGCTTCAAATTACGAAAATTTTTGATATCAAAAAAGTTCTCTCTGATGATAAGGCACAGCAGCAATGATGGTTTTTGTCATTAACAGATAGTTACAGGTAGATCTTGTCAATCTTAACAAGAATTTGTCAAACTGTGACTTACTTTGAATTTCCCAAAAGGTTGGACGAAGATATTTATAAGGAATGTGAAAGAGTGGACGGAGAGCAAGTTCGTTAGGGTAGACTATTATGTTACACAAGCGCTCACAGAGCA